TCCTCTTTATTCATGTGGTAGGTCATCCTAAATTGATTGTAGCTCGGAGGCAAAGAGTGAAGCACCATGTCGATCGCCAAGTCTTCCCCAAAGTCAACATTCAACTTGCGAAGACGGTCGACATACCTTTGCATCTTTTGCAGGTGCACGGTAAGAGACTCTCCATGACCCATTTTAGCGGAAATCATGTTAGTGAAAATCTCATAACGCTCTTGTCTCGCGTTTTGGTGGTATCTCTCCAATAAGTCTTGGTGCATTTCATACGGATACATGTCCTCATAGGACTTTTGGAATTCGGAGTTCATAGTGGCTATCATGATGCAATGTACCTTCGTTGCATCTCGCTCGTGAGTTTCAAAAGCGGTCATCTCAGCCGGAGTAGCGATTTCTGGATTGATCTTCTCGAGCTTCTCATCGAGGACATACTCCTTATCCTCATAGCGAGCAATCGTGCGAATGTATCTTATCCATTCGCTAAAGTTCGTTCCATCGAAGGTGACCTTTTGACAAAGGCTCATCAAGGTGGATGAACTAGCAGCAGCGTTGTTTGCGTTCGACATCTAGAAAGGACAAAGATAGATTAGAATTTGAATCCCTAATTATCACCCAATAAGAAAATTAGGGCTAGGATCCAACAACAATATTTACACATTAGAAAAGGGATACCGTAATCTAGCATGCAAACATTTTGAAGGTAAGTGAATGACGATTCACTAATTCTCCACCATAAAATCTAACTTTAAGCCTAAATGTATTGAGAATTCCTAGATTTGGATGAGATTCATTGAAACTTTTCAATGGCATGTTTAAATCTCGATATGCCCCTCTTGTTTGTGACTGGGATACCGAGGATCACAAAGCGGGTGTGAATTACCATGCAAATTCACATGGTGCCTTCATTGTAACAATCACCTATTCGACGTGTCGGTAAACCACACACGCTTCATCGAACTATGATAAACAATTAATCACCCTTTGCCACCTTTGCTTAGAACCAATTAGTGTGCCGGTAAACCACACATGCTCCACTAACTTCTTAGCAAGGGTGCAAAGTGTAATTTCATGGGATTGCATCAATTCACTTTTCCTAAAGTAACTAAGATTGGGAAATTTTAAAAAAATATGTAGTTACTTTATATTTCTTATTATACTTTTAATGAGAGGAGAAGGTTGCCATATCCTACCCGTTCGGCTAACGACCCTCCACCGATCAAGCAAGCGGTGGGTGAGAGTGTTCACCCATTAAGCGCCATTTTATAGGCCGCAACCTTATACCCACCTTATAGATCGGCTTCGTGAATGAGGCCTACTAACGGTAAGACTAGCATTTAGTTATACATATATATATATATATATATATATATATATATATATATATATTAATCTTGTAATATTATACTAGTATAGGGTTGTATTTTAAACCTTTTAAAATCTAGGGTTTGAAATTTAAGTTGTCTAAATTAAACTTTTAATCACAAAACATAAATTTCAAAACTTGAGGACAAGTTTTAAAACATTTAAAACATGGAGGATCAAATAACAAATAATTTTAATTAACAATTAATTTCCTAATTATCCATATTTGATTTATTCAAGATTTCTTGCAAGATAATTACCAATTTAATCAAAAAAATTAATTAATTATCATATAAGGAAATTAAATATTTTATTAGTTGATAAATATCTTTAATTAGATCAAGGTTATAGTCATATATATCAAAAAATCGGATTAGGGTTGATCTAATTTGTAAAAGGTAAGTTTCCATAAGATAAATACCAAAAAATCCCGTTTTTAACCTTTCCTGATGCTCGGACTCGCCGAGTGCACCAAGGGACTCGCCGAGTCAGGCCTACTCGCCGAGTCCACCATGGGACTCGCCGAGTCCATGACTCAGAAACACAAAATTCGAATTTTGCAGTTAAGAAACAAACAAGCAAGCAACAATTTAATAGAAACCAAGCTAGGCTCTGATACCACTGATGGGTTTTAGCCATAAGAACTTTCCTATGTGCGCATGCAAAACCCTAATGCTTGGATCTAGGCTTTCTAATTAAACATGCTTTGAATCCAAGACTTCTAATGACTAATTAGGTATAAGAACAATACAAAATCAGATCTGGAAGTTTACCTTTGAACCTCTTGTTTGATCTTGTTGTCTTGGAGCTCTAGAGTCACAATTGTCACTCCTCTAATGGCTTACAAACACCAACTAGCAAAGAGGATGATTTGAGAGAGAGGTTAGGGATGAAATTCGGCCAGGGTTCCTCTACTTTAGAACAGATGCCGATTTGCCTTGCCCATAGGGTCTATTTATACTTGTAGACTCCTTAAGGGTTTCAACTTGAACCCCAGTTGGATAATCTTTCCTTAAAGCAATCCAACTCCTTATCATGGATAAGCCTTGGACGATTTTGAGCTATCCTTAGCTCTAGAATTCGTCCATCCTCTATCCTATAAGGATTTACAGTCTAAAGTGTAACTATCAAACAATTGACAGTTTATACCCCTATGTTTAATTAATCTCTTTAAGTCACCAAATTAATTCCAATTAATTCTATGACTTATATTAATCAAACAATAATATTATTATTCCTTATATTATACTTATAATATATTAATAATATTTATTCTCTCATAATAAATCATCCTGTCAAGTTGCTATGGTGAAGGCAACCCAAAAGGACCATGCACAATCGGGTCAAATACTTGCCTAATATAGTTGCAGCCTTAGACACTATTCCAACAGTTACGAGATTCATCACACAAGACTTAAGCCAAATCACAAGACCTATGCAACCAAGCAGTCGAGATCGCGATACACATAAGCATCAACAGCCGCAAACACCTCATCAATGATTGTCACACGTAAGACGTAGTGAAAAAAACCTAAAGAAATCATTCATAAATACTAAATGAGTACAAAAACAAAAATGACTTATTTTGAAACAAAAAAAATATTAAGGACTAAATGTGTACAAAAATATTAAGGACTAAATGTGTACAAAGTGAAAAATATATTATCCTATTAAGTTATTTTTCTCGGCTAACCTGGAGTAACCGGTCATAAGGATTAAATGTGTACAATTTAACAAGTTGAAGGGGTAAATGTGGACGGAAAAAAAAACTCAGTAACCAAATGTGTACAAATCGAAAAATATTTTATCTTTTTAAGTCATTATCCCATTATGTGGACAAAAGAGAAGTTTGGCCTGGCAACATGGAAACAAATTGGATGATGAGAATGGTCGGAGATATTCTTAATATTATAGAGTTGCTTGTTGACATCATTATCGTGTAAGAGTAATTAAGTAAGTGTTTTAGCATTCAAAAGACGTACAAAATAATATTTATTAAGTATGGAAGCAGGGATCCAACGCATAGACTATTTGGAAAAATAATTTTATTTTTTGCATAATACCATTTGCGAGGCCATGTTATTTTCATTTTAGGGTTAGATCGTTCTCTTGGAGGATTTAATCAAATGGATTTATGTATTTTTTTTATTTTGAATCTTTTATGTTTTCAAAAGCAAAAGGCAAAATTACAAGAGATAGAGCCTTGATTGAAGGATAAACCAAAACCGAATAACCGATGAACTTATTAAGTTTTCTTGAGTGGAAAAAGAGTGGGCCATAAATAAAATAAGAAAAAAAAAGGACATGTGACATAAGATTAGGGTTAATGTCACTCTTGCCCAACAAACTAAGACCTTCTGTTTTAAAAGGTCACTAATCTTATTTTTTTGCATTCTACGGGTGTAATCTTGATTTTTAAATTTTAAAAGGTCCTTATTTCTTAATTTCTTAACTTGTTACCGGCTAGAAGCCGGTCAATACATGTCCTACATTTCTTCATCAACTTACTCATCTTCTTTACATGGCCACCACCACCATTGTTCCTTACCTTTTGCCTTTTTTTATCGACTACCTCCATCTCCGTCTTCTTCCACTTTGATTATCACAAAAAAAAACCACGCCATTCTTTCTCAACTGCCTCCATCCTCAACCTCCCATCCACCTTCTCCCACTTTGATTATCCCAAAAAAAAAAATTCATGTCCACCGTCCCATATTCCATGAAGATGTCATTGAAAAATAAAATCAATATCCAAAATAAATAAATCGATAAAATCAAGACCATGGAAAATTTTGGGTGTTGCTATTAAGACACCCCTTAGACACCCTATAGATACATTTATCAAAAACCTATAGATAACTAGTTATAATCATTTTTTTTGGAAAACAATGTAATTTTAACAAATAAAAATACCTTAAAACCTATATAGGGTGTCAAAATGGTAAAATGGGGTGTCTTTTTAGCTAACCCCAAAATTTTAAGCTGTGCATGTGTATTTTTAGATTGTTACTGCAAGAAATTTGCAGATGATGCTTCCGATTTCCAAAAATTATCTTGCAAATGTCTCTTTCGTTATATTCAAAAACAACATATTTGCAGGTACTTTTCGTTACTCCAAAGAGCTTGTGATGCAAAATCCTAACAACAAACCTTGATATGTGTTTAACGTAAGAACAGGGAACAGAGACCGGATACCAAAACATTAATTCTCAAGTAACGAAAAGAAGAACACCAAATAAAACCCAAAAAAATAAGAACACAAAAAAAAACTCAGAAAAAGATACCAATTAATCCCAAGCGCTATCTTTTTTGGGTTTCATAAATCTCCTAGCGTTGTCCTTCGAAAATGACCCATTAATCACGTACTTCCTCAATTAATTTGGGTGTTGCTAAATTGACACCTCTTAGACACCCTATAAACACTTTTAGTAAAAAGTCAACCTATAATAAACTATTTATAATTTACTTTTTTTAAAAACAATGCAAATTCAACAAATAAAAAAACCTTAAAATCAAATAGGATGTCTAAATGGAAAAATGGGGTGTCTTTTTAGCCAATCTCATCCATTTCTATGCATCTATGCAACCAGACCTCCTACGACACCACTACTCGATTCCAAGTTCTAGGGTTTTCATTATCTCTGCTAATGATCAATCGATGAACTGATTTTTAGATTAGCTAATTCAATTTTCCATGAAGGAAGTTCAAAATACGGGAATTTAGAGTCAAAGCCTTGATCGGAGTTAACCAATTCAGAAAACCCACGAAGGACAGGTGGGTGTCGCTGCAGATAGTAGCGGTGGAGGAGTGAAGGTTGAGGTAGGTAATGTCGTTGAAGGAGCTCAAGTGGTGGTGAAGAGGAAGCGAGGGGATCAAGCGAACCAGTCGTCTGCTAAGAAGATTAAAGAAGAGGATAATGATGATGACGTTTCTTTTATTTGCTTCAATGGTGGGAGTCTCATGTTGTGCAATGGTAGATTTGTGCTCATATTGTTTGCTTCATCCATATAGAGGCTACAACATACAACTGTTATGTTCATGTTCTTTTGGTATTGGATAAATGTCTGCATTTATTGCATTGAACTGCATTCGATGACATTCAAAGAATTAACTTTTATGAGCTTTTATATCCTATTTTGCAAACCTAACCGGCTATAATGGGCTGGTTACCTAAATTAGCCTGTAAAACACAAGTTTCTACCCTTCAAATGCAAAAAATAATAATAATAAGAGGAATGACCTTTTAAACCAAAATTGATAAGTTGGTTGGGCTACAGTGACAATAACTCCATAAGATTATTAGAATAGATTTGGACTTTTTATAGCCCGCAAGATTTTTGTATTATATCATCATATCATCATTAAGTCACACCATCTTTTGTAAACATAATTTCACCACACAAATGTCCCCTTATAAACACCTTTATTGACATTTTCTTTGCTCATACCATATTCTTTTAGACTATCGCTAAACCCAACTATATCCAATCAAACAAGCAACATAAAGCTAAGATATCGAAATTGTACATAGATCCAAATATATAAGCATAACACAAAGAAAAGAAAAACATAACAATTATAGTACACACAAATGAGGAATACAACATTCTTGTCAACGTGACATCTTCCTATGGCCAACTATAATTATCTCAGGGGTGTCATCTTCTTTTTCCCTTTCTGCCTCCTTATCTTCTTTACTCCCTTCTATGACAAGCGGGTTCTTTCTGGAGGGGTTTACCACACAATTCGGGTCCCGAGGATCACATGCAGGAGCTTCGGCTTTGGTTTCTCGAATCAAAATGGAAGCCATGAGGATGGCCGAAAGGCAAAGAAAAGCCATTGGCTTCATCGTTGTGTTGTTCTCTTGCAATGGATATGGAAAGTTGCAAAACGTTTTTTGTATTCGTGTAAATAGTTGTTTAGTAGGTTAATTTGTGGATAATAATGATTTAAAAATCCAATGGTTATGAATTATGATGCATTGGTTACAACCCCCTTTTTTTAAATTTTGTATATGGATAAGTAGTTTAATAGATGAACTTGTGGACAAGGGTGGTTGAAAAAATAAGTGGTTATTACCTATTACACACGTAAAAACCATTTTTTTTATTTGTGTAAATAGCTATTTAATGTTTTTAGCAAATTAGTAGATTAAACTTGATTGAGACTAATTTAATAAATTCACTAATTATGTTGACACTGAATCTCCAGTTGTAATTTATTATCCTCATCCTCATCATCGAAAATAGTCCTAAAAAGTCTATAAAAAAAACATAAATGTCCTCATCCTCATCACTGAAAATAATCCTAAAAAGTCTATAAAATAAAAAAAAATGTTCTCCTCATCCCCGTCATTGAAAATAACCCTAAAAAGTCTGTCAAAAAAAATAAACATGAATGCACTCTTCATCCTCATCACTGAAAATAACCCTAAAAAGTCTGTCTAGTGCCCCATTCAATAAACACATCCGTAAAGTTTCTCCTTTTGATAATAAAGCACGGTCCGAGCTGCTATTGTACTCGCGGTGTTACCAAAGCTCAAGCTACCACCTTGTGGCGGCCTTAGTAATTCCATCACCCTTTCGGCGGCAACCACTTGTTCTTCCCGGACTCCTTCATTACACATTACTTCCCTGAAACACCGCCAACCAAACATGATCACAGACTGTAATGACTTATTCCATTACCTTTCGAATCTCTGTGTCATTATGAATAAAGAATCGGGTGAAATCTTACGTGAGTAAACGTGCTAGTTTTGTGGGTGAGCAATGACGAAAAAGGGCTTCGGGAATAACAGGTGAATTAAGAAGGATATTTGGGAGAGAAATGTAAGGTATTTTAGCTTTATAACGTATCACCCATTCTGTTAGGAAATGGGCTCGATACGCGATAACACATGATAATCGCGCAAGTTGCAATTCCATTGCCGCTGTCCCCGATGTACATAACGCCACACTGCTCGCCTGTATCAGCTAGTTTTTCAGCTAACAGCTAGTTTTTCAATTGCCAGATAACTAGTATTACTTACACTAAATGCATCATATTTGGTGTGGGGTGATCCTCCAGGAACCAGTACGACAGGTGTCGGCCACTCATTGGTGGTTCTTTTGATGTGATCTTCTACATGTTTGTTAGGTGCCACGTGGATAACAGTCATTAAGTCCTGAATGGAGTCCGTTAAGAGATTCATGGTTTTTGAGTAAATTGGAAGCATACGTGTCACTTCTTGTAATCTACTTCCAGGAAGCAGACTCAATATTCTTGAACCTTGCAAAAAACATTACCCGGATTTTAAAAAACTTATTGTATCTTTTTGGATTTTTGAATATGTCCAATTTTACCTGAGGAAATTCCGTATTTACCCCTGAACATGTCAGCATTTCCTTGCACCTTCCATCCCTTTTCTGTAGCAACCTTTTGTTGGACATGAACATGTAATCATTAAGTGACTGAATATTTAGTGTAATGGCCAAAAATTTGGAAGGGTAAAAAGGGAAAAAAGTGGAAACAACTTGTACCGAGTTAAGGTCAAGGGAATCTTCTAGAATGGGGTGGCCCACAAAGGTTGCAGGTAGTCCATTAGATATGCAAACTTCCTCTTCAAATGGAAGAATACATAAGACATGATCAATAAACTCAGAAAGTCCCTTAAGTCTTGCTTCACCTCCTTTCCATGCCCAAAAAGATGGTGCTACATAATGGAAGTGTAAAGGTCCTTTTTGCCCATATCTAGCTGCAAAAATTATTCCCCCATTTTCCTACACCATAAATATTATAAGGAAAATCTAAATTACATGTTTGAAATCAAGAAAAAGATGGTCGAAGAATTACCCCTTAATTGCTTTAAAAGACGAAAAGAGAATCCCTTTGAATCAATTGTCACTATGACATGAGGATTAAATGAGATTGCAGCTTCAAATGTTTGCTTCAGTCTAACCTGCAAAAGTTATAGATTTTTAGTAGTTTTTAAGATGTCTGATATAATTATTTATTTCTTTACAAGAAGTTATGAGAAATTGGAAAAAGAAAGTACTTGGAACTTATTTAGATGTGGCAACAACTCCCAAATCCCCATTACAGCAATATCTTCGATGGGGAAAACAGATTTCAATCCATGTTTTGCCATCATAGATCTAAAAATTGACACACGGATAAATGAATACATATGTATGTATGTATGTATGTATGTTTACAAATGAATATAGATGTGAATTTGAAAACCACAAAATTGTTTGGGGAAACAGATACTAATTGATTAGGGTTAAGAAGATTTAGAGATTGAAAGGTGAATCTACATGACTAAAAAAGAATTACCCTCCGACTCCAGCAATGTGTATTGGGAATGGTGAAAGCTTCGTTAAGGCAGCTATTAAACGAGAACCAATAGCATCTCCTGAAGCTTCTCCTGCAACTAAAAAGATCCTCATTTCTCCATCTTTGGAAGCCAAATCAACTGCAGATTGTCTCGAAGTGGAGAAATATTTCCCCAATGACAACAGAAAGTCTGAAGTAGTTCTTCTATTTGAATTGCGGATAGGCTTAAGCAACATTGTGATGTTTACTGCAAATCAGAAATCAGACCAGCCAACATGATGGACAACCTTTAGGCATTCATGGAAGTCGCCGGGGGTGTGGAACTGCGAGCGACGGCAGTGGCGGTGAACTCTGCCGGAAAAGTCACTGGGAGTGGGTGTGAGGGCGAGGCGCTATGTGTCCTTGGCAGCTTCGAGCTCTGTTTCTTTATTTCTTCCCTAGCAACCAGCCGGTATCAATCCCAAGACCCAAAGTAGTGATTACATTATTATTATTATTATTATTTTTTTTTTTTTGTAAAATGTCAATGTAGCACATCAAAGCTTCGTTAATTATCCGATTTGGTCATTAAAGTTATTTTTTTGCACAATAGACCATTGAACTCGTTTTTTACCTGTTAAACAGGGGAATTATCCAGATTTTACCTGGTTTCACCGGTTACACTAAGCCTATGTGGCTTTATTGTTCTTTTTTCTAATATGTGGCTTTTTCCCCCTCTTTAAAACCCTAAATTAAAAAAAAACCCACCCTTTACCCAAGAAGAACAGTACGTCTTCTTCCCGGTTCCCCCCACCACATAAATCAACCGGTGATTGTGCTTGCTTCTGCATCCCGATTGTGCTTCTTCTGCGTTCGTAGCCTTTACCCCAAGCAAAACAGAGATCAACATTGCTCTTTTGTCTCCATCTATCAATCGATCAAAGGTCTCAGAACGACACCCCCTTTTCTTCGTTCCCAATCGACGATCACTTATGTCTTCTTCATAACTTTTATGTGTATGTGCGAGATTCCACAGCAACAAGGAATCAAATTCCCTTTTTCTTCTTCTCAATATCGAAATCTAAAGGTTGATAATGGCCATGGTGACTGGTATAGAGAAAATAAGGATGGTTTGTTGGTGAAGGGTAGGTTGTAATGAAGAGACAAGGATGATGGCTTTATATACAAGTAAGTGGCAGGGGATTATTCTGTTTGTTTCTCATAAATCATTTGGTTTTGGACCAATCTTTCTTATACATACAAACACTAAGACCACTTGGTGTTCATTGTGTTCATAAGTGAAAGAAAAGGGGAAGATGAAAGACATGAAGAACTCTCACCGATGATCTATCGATTTAGGGCTTGGATTAGAGGGACGATGGCAACAATGTGAGGTTGAAGATGGTGATGTTAGAAGGTTGATGAAAGTGGTGGTGGGAGATTGACGAAATCGTAATTTAGGGCATGTATTTGTGTATTTGTTCAAGAACATAGATTGAAGACATCAGAATTTAGGTGTAACGACCCAAATTTCACGCCCAAAAATTTCGTTTTAAAATCATTACTTTGGAAGACATTTGTGATAAAACATTGTCTGTTCAAACCATTTCATAACATGTATAGTGTCTGAAAACCAAAATATGAAACAACCAAATATTAGAGTACAAATCCCAGAACAAGTTCGCAAGGCGGAAAACAGTGTGTGTGTATGATGTGCCGCTACCGCGCCAGCTCCTTCCCCTTCGAAGAAGAGGTACCTGAAACCAAAACTGAAAACTGTAAGCACGAAGCTTAGTGAGTTCCCCCACTGTACCACACACTACATGACCACATAACATACATATATTGTCAAGCATATCTGGGTGCCCGACCTACCCCTTCGGTCCTCTCGACCGGATACTGGCTAGCATATCTGGGTGTTGGCCTCCCCTTCGGTCCTCTCGACCGGATACTGGCTAGCATATCTGGGTGTTGGCCTCCCCTTCGGTCCTCTCGACCGGATACTGACTAGCATATGTGGGTGTTGGCCTCCCCTTCGGTCCTCTCGGCCGGATACTGGGGACTATTCCACCCCTACTACTACCACATAACGCATATCACATAATCTATCTAGCATGGCTGGGCATGACTACCCCTTCGGCCCTATCGATCGGTAATCTGGGGACTATCTCCCCTACTGTCACTAGCACATAGCATCATATCATACTAGCACATAAACATATCAAGTAGTAGTAAACCTAGATGAATATCACAGAGACAAACATTTAATCATACAACTCCTACTGATGGTCCGACATTGTGGTCGTAGACCCACCGCTACTGGAAGGTAACTCACCTTGAAGCAGCTGCTGATCTGCGTGGGAACTGTCTGTCTGATGTTGCTACTCCGGAACTCCTCCGGCTGTAATTCCCACAAAACACTCAATCAGTCAAAGTCAAAGTCAACTACCAGTTGATCTGACTCGCTGAGTTGGCTCACCAACTCGCCGAGTCCCTATCCTTACATTTGTCCTCATACCCGCCTCTACTCGTCGAGTTAGGCGATGACTCGACGAGTTTTCCTTCTAAATGAACATCGACTGAATCTTCATCCGACTCGCCGAGTTGTATGAACAACTCGTCGAGTTCATCTTTAACGGATAACAGGTCCTGCCCTTGACTCGCCGAGTTGTATGAACAACTCGTCGAGTTCATCTCCATCCAAAAGGAGATTGCCTTGGACTCACCGAGTCTGTCTCATGCACTCGTCGAGTCCCATGAATATCCAGAACAATGCCTTAGTCCAGATCGTTGGGTCACTTCCCAGGACTCCCTAAAACCTTTCCATCCACAACTGGGTCATTTCGACCCTCAACTGATTGGGACTCAAGCTTGGACTCGCCGAGTACAACGATGGACTCGCCGAGTCTATCTCATGTTCTCACTAGATCTTCGATTTCTGATGTACAACTCTTGATCAAAGGATAGATCTATACTCCTTGGACCGTTCTAGCACGTAAAGTTACAACCTTTACGTGCTTGCATGGGACTTTAAGCTCAAAAGGTCCTAAAACAAGCCCTTAGATTGCATGGAGCCTTTCATGGATGGAAAAGCACCCCCTTTCTGCTTTGAGACCCCTCAAGGGTCCTAGATCCGCACCCTCATCCCCAACCATGCTTGCATTCATGGTTGGCTAGCTAAAATGGCTCATAAAGCCCTAGAATTCCACCAAAATGGGATCTAACATTTGGAAGATCAAGGTACAGACTTTTTACCTTGAATGAGCTGCAAATGATGCCCCAATTCGGATCCCCTTCAGTCCTTCCTTGTTCCCTCAAGCTTCTCTTCTCACCTTGGATCATAAGCACACCAAAAACTCTTCAACAAGGCTAGATTGCTTTAAAAACGGCTAGAGTTTCAGTGAGGGGTGTTTGGGAGCATTAAGGAGTGATGGAGGCTGCATAAGGTCGTTTAAATAGGGTGCAAACCCCTGGATTAGGGTTTTTGTCCAGACAGCGGCTACTCGCCGAGTCCACAACTAAAACTCCGCGTCTCATCCCGCTTCTACTCGGCGAGTCAGTCCTTCGACTCGCCGAGTCCAAGGCCAAAATTACAAATCAATAAAAGAATTAAATACAAGAATACGTACCAAGAATCAGGTGCTACAAATCTCCCCCACTTATTTTAGACTTCGTCCTCAAAGTCTGCTGTTCGCTCCTGAAACAGCTCGGGGTAATGCTCCATCATCTCGTCCACCGGCTCCCACGTCCACTCCGACCCTTTCCGGTGCTTCCATTGCACCTTCACGAGTTCCACTATTTTGTTCCTTGGATCCTTTGACTTCCGGTCAAGGATCACTACAGGCCGCTCGATGTAATTCAGGCTGTCATCAACCTGAATGTCCTCCAAGGGTATCACCGCTGAGTCGTCCACCAGGCACTTCCGCAGCTGGGAGACGTGGAAAGTGTTGTGGATCTGACTGAGTTCGGCTGTAAGATCCAACCGGTACGCCACCTTGCCCACCCGGGCTACAATCCTAAATGGTCCAATAAACCTGGGACCCAACTTGCCCCGCTTCCTGAATCGGATGACGCCCTTCCAAGGCGACACTTTCAGGAGAACCATATCCCCGACCTAGAACTCCAGGTCTGATCGGCGCTTATCGGCATAACTTTTCTGCCGACTCTGAGCAGTCTGAAGCCTGTTCCGGACCTGCTGAATCTTCTCTGTCGTCTTGAGCACTACTTCAGTGCTCCCCATGACCCTCTGGCCAACCTCGCCCCAGCATATCGGGGTCCTGCACCTCGTCCCATACAACATCTCGAAGGGAGGACGGTCGATACTCGCATAATAGCTATTATTATACGAGAACTCCGCCAATGGAAGGTAGGTATCCCAGCTACCTCCAAAGTCTAAAACACATGCTTGCAACATGTCCTCCAGAGTCTGGATGGTCCGCTCGCTCTGGCCACCCGTCTGCGGGTGAAAGGCGGTGCTGAAATGCAGACGAGTACCCAACTCGTCGTGGAATTTCTTCCAAAACCGGGATCTGAACCGCACATCCCTATTTGAAATCACCGAAACTGGCACTCTGTACGGCGCCACCACCTCCCTGATATATATATCAGCCAATTTCTCGCCCGAGATGCTCTCCTGAATCGGGATAAAGTGGGCGCTCTTGGTCAATCGATCGACGATGACCCAGATCGAATCCACCCCCCGCACGGTCCTGGGAAGCTTGGTGATAAAATCCATCATGATGTCTTCCCATTTCCATAGGAATATCCAACGGCTGCATCTTGTCGTGCGGTCTCTGATACTCTCCCGAATCCACTCCAACAGCGGAGTCACCACTGTCATCCTCAGGCAGATATCTTGGATCGGTGCTGCCGTACGGCTAAGCGAGTCAGCCACCACATTGGCTTTCCCCGAATGGTAAAGGATCTCACAATCATAATCCTTTACCATGTCAAGCCACAGACGCTGCCTCATGTTCAAATTCGGCTGGTCCATGAGATACCTCAGGCTCTTGTGGTCCGTGTAGATGGTACAACGAACCCCATGGAGGTAATGACGCCAAATCTTGAGGGCGAACACAACAGCCCCCAGCTCCAAATAATGTGTCGGGTAGTTCGCCTCGTGAGGCTTCCGCTGCCTCGAAGCGTAAGCAATAACGTGCCCTCTCTGCATCAACACTGCGCCCAAACCCGAGATGGACGCATCGCAGTACACAACAAAATCCTCTATGCCCTCTGGCAGGGCTAAGATTGGCGCCTGGCACAATCTCTGTCTCAACGTCTCGAACGCGGCCTGCTGCTCGGGCCCCCAACAAAAAACCATGACTTTCCTCGTTAGCCTGGTCAGGGGTATGGCTATCTTGGAGAAGTCCTTAATGAATCTCTGATAGTAGCCCGCCAATCCTAAGAAGCTCCGAATCTCGGATGGAGACCTCGGGACTTCCCATCTCATCACGGCCTCTAACTTGGCCGGATCCACTGATATCCCGTCCTGGTTGACAAGGCGCCCCAGAAATTGCACCTCGCGCAACCAGAACTCGCACTTGGAGAACTTAGCATATAAGCTCTCCCTCCTCAAAGTACTCAGAACCTCACGCAAGTGCTCCTCATGCGTCTTGGAATAAACCAAGATATCGTCAATGAAAACAATCACGGACCGATCCAACATCGACCGGCACACACGATTCATGAGATCCATGAACGCGGCAAGAGCATTGGTGATCCCGAAAGGCATCACCACAAACTCGTAATGACCATAGCATGTCCGAAAAGCAGTCTTCTACACATCCTCCTCTCTGACCCTCATCTGATGGTAACCCGAACGCAAATCAATCTTGGAGAACCAAGATGCTCCCTGTAACTGGTCAAAGAGGTCATCTATCCTCGGGAGTGGGTAACGGTTCTTCACCGTTACCTTGTTCAGCTCCCGATAATCTATACACATCCGATGCGACCCGTCCTTCTTCTTCACAAACAGGATCGGGGCCCCCCCAGGGTGAACTGCTTGGTCTAATGAATCCTTTGTCTAACAGCTCCTGCAGCTGTGTAGACAACTCCTGCATCTCAGAAGGAGCCAATCGATACGGTGCCTTGGCTATTGGAGCCGCACCAGGGACTAGGTCGATCCTGAACTCCACCTGTCGCTCCGGAGGTATCCCAGGAAGCTCCTCTGGGAACACATCTGCGTAGTCCCGCACCACCATAACCTCGCTCACCGTCGCCTTACCCGTCTCCCGAGTATCCATGACATACGCGACATATCCCGTGAAACCCTGCTGAAGGTAGCGCCTAGCTCTCGCTGCTGAACATACTGTGGGTCCACGTTGTGGCCTCTCCCCTTGGATCACCAGCTCTCCCCCACTTGGGGTCTTGATCCGCACCAACTGCTGTGCGCAATCTATAACTGCCCCGTTAGGGCTCAACCAATCCATGCCTATAATCACTTTATTCCTACGCAATGGAATGGGAACCAACTCTACCAAATAACGCTCCTCAAATAACCTCAGAATGCAATCTCGGAACACTGCAGACGCTCGCACGGATCGATCATCGTCAATCTCTACCTCTAAAGGGCAATCCAACATGCCCGAAGACTCAGTGAACTTCTTGCTAAGCGCAAGAGAAACAAATGATTGGGTGGCACACGAATCAAACAACACTTGTACTGGAATACCGTTCACATGCAACGATCCTAAACGTATATACATAGGGCACATATCAATATCATAACATCATATAAATAAAACAGAGGGAAAGAATCATACCCGTCACCACATCGGGTGCGGCGCGTGCCTCCTCGGTAGTCAGCTGAAATGCCCGGCTCCTCACCACTGGAGCCTCCGCCTTGCCCTGCCGGCCATCAGTAATCCGCAGGGTCGCTGGAGCTGGCGCCTTCACTGGCGCTGCTACTGTCAACTGGTGGCAATTGGCCTTCTTGTAGCCCCTCTGGTTGTAGTGGAAACACAGCAACTCTGATGTCTGTATCATAGGTGCAGGGGTGGTACAATCCCTGCTGAAGTGGCCCATCTTGCCGCACTTATAGCAGCCTAACGATCCCAACTTGCACGCTCCCTCGTGCGTCTTGCCGTATTTCCTGCAGCGGCCTCGCCCCTGTTGGCCTTTCGGCCCTGCGTCTGGTCACTTGGGCTTCTTCCCCGAAGCCCCCGTAACCTGCCCCTCCTCAACCTTCCTCTTCCGGATGTGCTCCAGGTCGATCTCCCTTTCCCTTGCCCTGGCAATCATGGACTCCAGAGTAGGGCAAGCGGAAAAACTGACATGCTCCCGAATATCAGCTCTTAGCATGTCATGATAGCGGGTCCTCCTCATATCCTCATCACCCGCGTACTGGGGCACCAACAATTTCCTCTCCCGGAACTTGGCGGTGATCTTCGCCACAGTCTCCGTCGTCTGCCTCATATCCAGAAACTCTCTAGCTAACTGCTGGAGCTCCACCGCAGGGGCAAACTGTAACACCTGTTTATTTATTAAATAAATAAATGAAATAATGAATGAATAGTAGCCCTAAAATAAATAATTATATATCAAAGGATGGAGCTAATTGTCATAAATTTAGAAGTTGAGGGCTAAAGGGTGAATTCTGGACCTTAATTGAAAAGAATTCGTCAAGAATGGGGTGGTTTTGTAAATTATGTACTAGTTTTGTAAAGATTTTAGAAGATAGGGGCTGTTTAGTAACTATTGGGCTTACTCTAAAAAGAATGTTAGGAGTCGGGGTCTAAAAGGTAAAATCTGGATCTACTTTGAAATAAATAAGAGCTGGAGGGACCTATCTTGCCATTATGGTAATATGTTTGTGTCCATCGAATATATATTGAATATGAAACCCTAACCCTAAGAAACTTATGTAACAGCCAACACCCACTCCCTTTCATCCTCCAGCCGACATCTCCTTCACCCTCGTCTCGCTGCCATGCGTCTTCCTCCTCGCCACCGCTGAAGCCAGTCACCGGAGTCCATCTCTTCTACATCAGAAAGTGAGTACGGTGGTTGGATGGTTTGTTGCTGTTACGAACCACCGGACCACAGCCGTCGTTTCTGTTGCTGCTGGAGGCGAAGGATGACGATGGAGCATCGTTCAGTCAGAAGCAGCGGGAGATAAGTCGTAGCCACCTACGCCGCCTCCTCCTCCTCATCTGTGAAGCCAAAGAAGCGGGACCATCGGTGGAGCCGCAAGATCAGTTGACAATGAGGCTGGGAGCCGCTAATCGCCATTGTTATGTTGTTGTTGCCACCGCCGGAGGAGCTTGAGCGTAGCTGTCATCGTCACGGAACCCCCCCTCTACTCGGTTCGTTGCTGCTGAACCGCTATCTATATCCTGCCGGCATGAAACCATCGCTGCCGCCGCCATACGCCATTATCGGGTGGTTGGTTTCTCTTTTCGAGCAAAGGGCGTGATGGTGTGCGTATTTTCGTTTATGGGTATGATTTGTTTGACCGGAAATCACAAGAGCCGCCGCTGCCACCACCGTGAGGTGGTGGCTGCCTCCAAGGACCATCGCATGTGTGTGTTGGTATTAGTGTAGTGTGTGTGTTTATTTTAGGAATTCATTGTAAAAGTTGTAAGAGCCAAGAATAATAAAAGAAACTGAAAACCACCACCTTAGGGTGGTGGCTGCCGCCTCCTGCCGCCACCGGCCGCCGTGTCGGGTGGCGGTGTGCTTTGCCTGGTTGTGTTGTCTAGTTTGGAGTGCTAGAAACCCTAATGGGCCCAAGGAAGCCCTAATGGGCCCAATGAAGCCTAATGGGCTTAATGAAAACCCTAATGGACTTAATGATATTCTAGTGGGCTTAATAGGCCCAATAAAGCCCTAATTGATCTAAAAGTCCAACAATATAATAAATGGGCTAGTAATTGGGTTAGAAACCCTAATTAGGGTTTGGAAAACCCTAATGCCAATAAAACCCTAATTTGAGAATAAATTGGGACACACACACACCCGGGAATTATTAATAACTCGAAACATGAATAATAATCATGGACAAGGTTTAGCTAAGCGATATGGGACTTAATGAGTTAAGTCCTTAGAGGATTAAGTTATTAATGGGTTAAGTAGGAAACTTAACCCTAATCGTCATTTTATATGAAACCCTAATTTCTCTTGGGTTTATTGTTGGACCTTTCTATTGGGCCTTGATGATTGGATTATTATTGGGCCATCCAAAGTGAAGCAATTGGACTAGAATAATTAATGGGCTTTGAGGTAAGGCCCATATGAGGAGTTCCAAATTGGGCCATGTGTTGGGCTTTGATTCCTAATTGACTTTGGGCCTAAGAATTGGACCTTGGGCTTGGATAAGCCAAGCTAGGGGTAAAGTAGTAATTACCCAAAGAATGTACTTATGGTTATGTAGTGGGATCCAATTATTAATTGGGTGATGTTTGATAACTGATAGATCGGGAATCCGTCATCCAACAGCTGGAGTTGAGTTTGCAGGACTTCAGCAGTGTGGGATTGAGTCTGCAGGACTTCAGCAGTGTCAGGTGAGTCTTCTCACTATACCTTACCTGGAATGGTAACTAGGTGTGACCGGAAGGTCTTATGTGTATGAATGAGTTATGAGACCTTATGTGATATGTGACCGGAAGGTCTTATATATTTGTATGAGCTATATGACTTATGTGATATGTATATGCTGTATGATTTTGGACCGGAAGGTCGACAGAGATTTCGCCGGAAGGCAATCAGAGTTATGGCCGGAAGGCGATCAGAGTTGAGGCCGGAAGGCAAGCCATGGTAGGGCCGGAAGGTCTACCAGAGTTGTGGGACCGGAGGGTCCCACTGAGACACATTGACCGGAAGGTCTTACAGAGCTATAGCCTCGAGTGGCTAATATGTTTATGTGGTATTTTGGGAAACTCACTAAGCATGCGTGCTTACCATGTTATGTGTTATGTGTTTCAGGTACATTGTTTCAAAGGAAAGGAGCCAGCTTGGTCGCAGCGCATCACACTATGTTTTCCGCACACGGGATCCTTGGGATTACACTCTGATATGGTTTTATGATACTCTGTTTGATTAATGGCACTTTAGTTTTTGATATGAGATATTATTATGAAAGTTTTTATATTAATCGCTTCTATGCAATAACTTAAATAAAAATGAAATTTTTGGCCTTGAATTTTGGGATGTTACAAGTTGGTATCAGAGCCTTGGTTTGAGGGATTCGAGCACTCTTGAGTGTGTCTGGACTCAAACTAAGGACATGGTATGAAAAGTTTTCAAAAATAAAACCATTTTACAAAAAGGAGTTTTGAAAACGAAATTGGATGGAGAAAAGAACTTCGGAAAGGAACAAGGTGTGTGATGCGTGCAATCAGCCGAGCTCAAGTAAGTTTTCATAAGATACCAATACATGTGATATGTTATGATATGATATGATTATGAGAACTACATGCTAGATTAGGGCTAAGGATCTAGGAAGGATGCCTTATATGCCTACTGTATGTGCTTATAGACCTGCATGCTAGTACTGATCAATCAGTGATAGGATAGCCTGTTTAGGTTATGCCTGGTTGTATGAGCCTTCGAATTGCATACAAGATCCCTGAGTAGAGGATAGAGAGGTTTGATTGGAATGGGATGTTTAGATTTTCCATTGTCTGAATGCTGCTTGCTTAGTGCTTTAGGGGACTCTTAGTAATGTGAGCTAGCTATATTCATGAGGTAGCTAGTTGACATTACTAGGAATCTTTCAGCAGCCGAGGAGTGGGTGAGTTCGGGAACCTAGGGAAGCCTAGGATATGATTCAGTGGGCTAGTAATGAGGCTCAGTGAGACTTGGGTGTATTAGTTTGAGGAAGTGACTTGGAGGTTTCAAGAGGATTGCTGAGGAAAGTATGGATAGGTGTGGAAGGTAGTATTGGGCCCGTACTATTGAAAGCATAGGATCCATACTCGAATCGGTAAGACTCTTGGAGAATCCGAGAAGCTTCGGGGAGAAGTTTGTGACCCGGTTGGAAATTGAGGACGTTCCAGTTGTTGCAGCTTAGCCATTGGCAAGTGAGCTAGTAAGCGTGGCAGGGTGTCAGACCCTAAAGGATATGATTTACAAGAGGTTGCAGATGCGATATCGATTTGTAGCACCTTGAGGAGAGAGGTGCGTGCTAGGTGCATATAGAAGAGGGTCTCGGGAAGAGACCCATGATTTCTGATCATCAGGTGAAGGGCCAGCGGGGCCAGAGTCAGTGCAGCACGTACAGGACAGTGTACAAGGGAGTTTGTCGCTCCGAGGGTTTAGGCTACTACAGGGTAGCGGGGTTGGTCATGTCAGCAGAAGGTGATTAGTATTCCTCCAGATGTTGCGGGTATGTCATCTTCTATTGCTAATAGATGGATGTTGGGGATATGTATCATGTTGGAGTTATGAGTAAGTTTGGATAAGTTAGATCTCGGGTCGGTTTCCTGCTAGTGTTTGGGTTATCAAGGATCATATATGCCATCCTGCATGCAGAAAAGTCGTTGATGAACCTACAGAGGGATGCATCTTGCGGAGTGGGTTCCGCGTTTACCGTTATCATTCCTGATCTTTGTCGAGATATGTGCAGGAGTGTTGTTTGGAAGATCCTCGGTCAGGGTTAGAGTGATAGTTCCCCGTGAAGTCAGCGTTCAGGGGTTCTATCATTGTTTAGGTATGGTCGGTAATTGTCTATGGATGAACTTTGGAGTTCAAGGTACTACCATTGCTAGGACAGAGCTGGTGACATAAAAAGGGTAGTGTCAGTCACGGGTGTTAGATGCATAAGTGGTTGGTCATCGAATGTTCAAGAGAATTCTTTTTTCGCATGGGCTGTGTTCGGTTAGAGTTCAGTGGTAATACAAGATTGGAAATGAGAACGAGGATTCGTCAGCCAGAGTGAAGATTGAGACCTTCAATTGACAACATGTTAGATGGATCGAGGTGTCAGACTGGATCAGATGTTAAGAGTACTCATCGAGATTTCCGAGGATGTGAGATCTCAAGGTTTAATCGGTGATTAAACGCTAGCATTGGAAGGCACAGGTTGTCATCAGTGGGATATTAGAAAGCGAGAAGGATTGGAAATCCTTCAATTCTTGCTTGCAGTGAAGAATTAGTCGAATCTAAGTGGGGGAGAGACTTTTTATAAAGTTCTCCGAATGTGAGTTCTGGTTGCGCGGGGTGTAATCTCTTGGGCACCTTGTCAACCAGAAGGGTATTCTAGTTGATCCGACCAAGATAGAGGTCGTGATGCAGTGGGAGATTCCGAGGTCTCCATCTGAGATTCGGAGTTTCTTGGGTCTAGCAGGTTACTACCAAAGATCTACATGGGACTTCTCCGAGATTGCGGTTCCTTTGACCCGACAGACCAAGAAGTCGGTGGCCTTTCGCTGGGGGCCTGAGCAGCACCCAGCCTTAGAGACTCTCAGATAGAGGTTGTGCGAGGCACTTATTCTCACCATGCCAGAGGGTGTAGATGATTTCGTGGGTTACTGTGACGCTTTGATCATGGGCATGGGTGTGGTACTGATTCAGTGGGGTCACGTGATAGCAGGTTTCGGGAACCAGGTTAGAGTTCCGGTTAGGATTCAAGCTCAGTTGTGTGTTAGGTCGAGTGCGTGTTCAACCGATATGGAAAGTGTTGTAAGACTATGGGGGTAGCCGTAGCATTCACTAGCAGTCAGATAGTATGGAAAGTGTTGTAAGACTACGGGGGTAACCATAGCATTCACTAGTGGCCAGTTAGCATGGGAAGTGTTGTAAGACTACGGGTGTAGCCGTAGCATTCACTAGCGGTCAGATAGTGATAGAGTGTTGTGAGACTGCGGGTGTAGCCGCAACATTTACTAGGTTAGTAGATAGTGTGAGTGCGTTGATAGGACGTAGAAGGAACAGTAGTACCCACCAGTTCGGGTGTAGTAGTGAGGATATGGAAATCCACTTATTGGATTTCGGATTTACCCAAATGGATTAGATCTGGTTAAGCCAGTAATGAGACTGTAGGGACGTCACTACAGTTATGAGATCAGAGAAGCAATGGACTGCTTCAGGACGTGTGAGATAAGGCTACCATTGGTCAGGTAGCAATCACTTTTAGTCTTGG